GCCACTCACACAAACACTCAATAAATATTATTAAAGGAAACTTATGTAATTGTTGAGTATCTGTCTATTATGATAGCATTTATGTTTTAGATGTATCATTCAGAGAGCTGTTTTTAGAAATAAAGCTGAATTTTAATTTAATCAATGGGCCCAAATTGAGTTGTTAATAGATCATGAACTCCTATTGTCCTCTTGCTAAATATCTGAGTTACAATCTAAAGAGGTGGGTGTGGACCTAGCAGGTGTTCTCAGTGGTTAGAGCAATGGTCTTGGAACCAAAGGGTCTCCTGTTCTATTAAGGTCAAGGAGCTTATCTCAGTTGCAGTGTGGGCCTAGTTAGGGTGCATGCAGGAGGCAGCCAATTAATGTGTCTCTCTCACATCACTGTGTCTCTCTGGGTGTCTCTCCCCTTCCCTTCTACTCTCTTTAAAATTCAATGGAAAAAATACCCTCTGGTGAGGATTAACTAAATAATCTAATCTAATAAAAGAAACATGCAAATTGACTATGCCTCCTCTATGCCCACCAGTGAGTATGCAAATTATCCCAGCAAATCTGGCAGCGGCCATGGAGCTGGAGTGAGCAGGAGGTTTGTGTTGTCCCTAGCGATGGAAGAAGCAAAGCTTCTTGTCAGCTGACCCTGGCTGGCCCTGACCTATGCTTAAGGCTATAAAGTTTCAATTATAAAAGATAAATAAATCCCAATACCTGCTTCCAGCCTGCCCTGGCTTTTGCTTAAGGAGGCTCTGAAAAAAATTAAAAAAAGAAGGGGCTGAAGGCTTGGGTTGCTGGGGGCATTGCCAGTCTACAAACAGTCATCAGCCCCTCACCCAGGCTGTCCACCACCTCCGCCTCATGGGGTGAGGGTCCCCTTTGGGGACTTGGCCAACCTGCAAACAGCCATCTGCTCCTCACCGAGACTGGGCAGGCACTGCAGTGGGAACCCCATCATGAAGTGGGTGTTGCCAGCCTGAAAACAGCCCTCAGCCCCTCACCTAGGCTGACCATAAGTCCCAGCATGGACCCTCACCCCATGGGGGCATGGCCTGCCTGAAAACCACCATAGGCCCATTGCTCAGACCTCTCCTCACCCAAGGGAATCCCAACCCCAATCTGGAACACCCTTTTGGGCAAAGCAGCTGGCTCCCACCCAGGCATCAGGCCTCTATCCTATCTAATAAAAGAGTAATATGCTAATTAGACTGGGAGACCTTCCAGGAGACCTTCTGGATATTATTCTAGACAAAAATCATGGTGGCCTGGCTAAGGTAGAGGCAGTTAGAGGCCAAGAGGGGAGTGCAGTTGTGGGTGATCAGGCTGTTGGCGGGCAGGGTCATTGGAGGCAAGCAGATAAGCAGGCGGCCAGTTTGGGGGAGGAGGCTGTCAATGGGGGTCAGTTGGAGGTGATCAGGCCATCAGGGGGCAGGTGGGTACAATCAGGCCAGTGGAGAGGGAAGGTAGGGGTGAGCAGGCCAGCAGGGAGGACACTTGTGGGTGATGAGGCCAGTATCAGGGGGCATTTGAGGGCAAGTATGCCAGCAGGCCAAGTGTTTAGGGGCAATAAGGCAGGCAGGCAGGTGAGCCATTAGGAGCCAGCAGTCCCAGATTGTAAGAGGGATGTCCTACTGCCGGTTTAGGCCCAATCTCTGTAAATCTACAGTAAGACATCCTTTGAGGGTCCCAGATTGGAGAGGGCACAAGCTAATCTGAGGAACACCCCTCTCCCTGACTTTTGTGCACTGGGCTACTAGTAATAATAATAAAAAGATGTGGTCTTCAAACATTCTAGTAAAAAGAACTACATGATACAAGTTCATTTTTCTTTAGTGGAGACAGACTGAACTTAAACGTGGCTGCCCTGTGCTCCTCAGCCTGAGGTGTGTTTCACAGAATTCGTTTCAGAGAAATCCTTGTGTAAACCAATCACAGAACTTAGGGGTGAGTGCAAGTTAAGTCAATGAAATACCTTCTATTTAGGTGCTAAACATACTTTATCTTTAACCTACTAAGTTATACTATTTGTACCTCATATTCTTACTAAGCACTTTTATGAATAATCAAGGTATAATTTGCTGCTATTTTGTATATTTTGTGGTTGTTTGATGTATTGTTATGCCTCAGGAGGTAATTGTCAAATATCATGTAATTTTATAGCAAACTATCTAAAAGTTCCAGGGTTTGCTGCTATAGGTATGGCTGAGTGAGTGAACATATTGGACTGCATAATTATAAATATTTACATATATACATATACTAGGGGCCTGGTGCACAAAATTAGTGCATAGAGGGGGGTGTTCCTCAGCCAAGCCTGCATCCTCCCCAATCTGGGACCCCACTGTGATTGGGCCTAAATGGGCACTCAGACATCCCTCTCACAAACCAGGACTGCTGGCTTCCAACTGTTTGCCTGACTGCTTTCCTGATTGCCCCTAACAACTTCTGCCTGCCAGCCTCATCACCCCCTAACCACTCCCCTGCTAATTGCTGCCTAACTGCTTTCCTGCCAGCCTGTTTAACCCTAACTGCCCTCTCCTGCAGGCCTGGTCACCCCTAACTACCCTCACCTGTAGGCCTGATCATCCCTAACTGCCTTCCTCTGCAGGCTTGGTGCCTCCCAACTGCCCTCCCCTGCTTGCCTTATTACCTAAAACTGCCCTCCCTTGCAGGCCTGGCACCTCCCAACTGCCCTCCTCTGCTGACCATCTTGTGGTGGCCATCTTGTGTACACATGGGAGCAGGATCTTTGAACACATGGGGACAGCCATCTTGTGTGTTGGAGGGATGGTCAATCTGCATATTACTCTTTTATTAGATAGTATAGAGGTCTGGTGCATGGGTGGGTGCCAGCTGGTTTGCCCTGAAGAGTGTCCCAGATCAGTGTGGAGGTTTCCTTAGGATGTAGTGTGGCATGGGTGAGGGTCCTGTGGTGGTCTGCAGGCCAGCCATGCTTCCCCCTCTGCCACCCAAGTGGAGGCTCTGGTATCTGGAATGCATTTATGTTCTACAATTGAAACTTTGGAGCCTTGAGTGGAACCAAGCCTCCTGCTCACTCTGTGGTGGCAGCCATTTCTATTGGGATTTATGTATCTCCTATAATTGAAACTTTGTAGCCAGGAGTGGAGACCTAGACTGTCCAGGGTGTGTGGAAAGCTTGGCTTCCTCCATTGCCCGGGGAAACCCTAGCCTCCTGCTCTTCCAGCTCTTTGGGTTCTGCCATTTCTGTTGGAATTTATTTACCTTCTATAATTGAAAATTTGTACCCTTGAGTTGAAGTCTGGGCCCACCAGGGTGTGTGGAAAGCTTGCTTTCCTTCATTGTCAGGGAAACCCAAGCCTCCCTCCTGCTCTCTCTGGCTATAGCCATCTTGGTTGGCATATTTGCATATTTGCTCTGATTGGTTGGTGGGTGAGGCTGGTGGGCGTGGCTTGTGGGTGTAGTGGTGTGTGGTTAATTTGCATATTATACTTTTATTAGATAGGATGTAATGAGAGTATTAGAAATATCTTATCCTTTAATACTGTAAATGCTGTCACTTTATAATTTTTAAATTGGTGCACCTGATTTTAAGTCATTAAGAAAATGACTAGGGATACAGATCTAAGGGAAATGAGAAAGCTCACTGAAATAATTATTTTAGACATCAGAGCCCAATTGTTTGACCAATTAAATGTATTTCAAGGTATAATTTTCCATATGATGCTGGTTGTCATTTTACTTTAGGCTTACATCTCCTTGAATTATGAAAAAGTTCCTGTAAACTCTGGACTCTGAATTTAATTGACAATTCTGATCTTTTTACTATTTTCCTTATTCAGAAATGAAAAGTCACCCTAGTTGGTTTGGCTTTGTGGATAGAGTGTTGGCCTGTGGTATGAAGGTTTCGGGTTTGATTCTGGTCAAGAGCATGTACCTCAGTTACAGGTTCCATCCCTGGTCCTGAACTGGGTATAAGCATGAGGCAACCAATTAATGGTCTCTCTCACATCCATGATTCTCTCTGTGTGTCTCACCCCCTCCCTTTCTCCCTTTCTGAAAATCAATGGAAAAATATCCTGGGTGAGGATTAAGGAAACATAACAAAATAAAAGCTGCTTCCAAGATTAAAAAAAAAAAAAAAAGAAAAAAAAAGAAAAAGAAATGAAAAGTCAACTCCTAGTACTGTGACAGTAAAGTTTTTAGATGCAAATGCTTAAATATATTTTAGTTTATAAATAATCTACTTTTTATTTAAAAAAACAAGAAAAATGTTTACTTAAACTTTTAGCCTATATTTTTATACCAGAAATATGGATTATAGAGCATTACAGAGAATAATACTTATAAAACATTCACTTTTTTGTTTAGTGAAAATAAATATATATTTTAAACAATATGTCAGTTTAGAGTTTGTATAAACAGAAGTTAATTTAATCCTCAAAAATTCAGAAAAGACCAATTTTTTTCATAATTTCTTTTTTGATAAATCTCAATTGGTTCAATTTGTGCTTTGTTTCCTTATTTGTTTGTTTTAAAGGAGAGAGCTAGGTTTTCTTGACCCTCTCTCTGAAGTCATTTCATAGAACCATTCTGGCCTTCCTCTCAGATTTATTGGCTAAAAAGATTTGTGGGGTAAATCTCACACTTCCGTACTCACTAACTAGTTATTAAAAAAAGAAATTGGACAATTCTGATTGATTTAGAACAATTAAGACCAGTAATAAAATGCTATATCCCATATCTTAGAAATGAATACTTTCACACATTAGTATTTGGATAAGGACTGGGAACTGAATGTGTAGGATTATGTAAGCCATCTAGTGAGAACCTTGTCTGTGGTAAAGCCCAAGGACTCTTTCTGGGCTCCAGATTTTCATCTGTGTCATGGCATAAATAGTTTGTCTTGCTTTAGTGAGTATTGCACAGAGAAAAAAATATAGACATCACTACCCTCATATAACTGTTCAGAAGCCTCTCACTAACCCAAGCCCAGAAATTACCTATTTCTAATTCTTCCCAGAAACATGGATCGCATCTTGCAAGTCTTCCAGAATGACCTCACCTGCTCCATCTGCAGAAACTGCTTTGTAGACCCCATCACCACAGACTGTGGGCACAGCTTTTGCAGGACCTGTTTCTACCTCAGCTGGCCGAACAGGTCAGGTCTGACTCACTGCTCTGAATGCCAGAAAGAAATCCAGCAAAGAGACTTTCACACAAATGTCATTCTCAAGGAAATGGTTCTCATTGTCACACAAGGCAGTCTGTGGCATTCTCTGTGGTCTACAGAGAATAGGTGTAGGATACACATGGAGGCAAAGCAGATCTTCTGTGAGGAGCAGAGGAGCCTGCTCTGTTTACACTGCTCTACCTCCCAGGAGCATGGGGCTCACAGACACTGTTCAATAGGAAAGGCGGCTGAGCAACACAGGGTAAGTGATGCCCTTTTGTAAAGTGAGTATGAAATTGCTGTGGGTCTATTTCCTTGGGGATGGGATTACTCCATCCAGGTGTTCCTTTCAGAATCTCTGCCCAGGAATTCCTTAGTGTGAAGCCTCCCAGATTTCACAAATATGTGATATAAACAAGGCAACTCTTTGATTTTCTTGTTTTCAATGGCTCTGATTCATCACTCATTCTGGAGACTAAAGGTTACATTCTCCTCTTTATGGGCTCTAATTGACTCTTGTGGTCTTGTGGTTCTCTTGCAGGAGAAACTCCTCAAGACAATGTGTTCTGTATGGGAGAAATGTCGTGAAAATGATAGAAACCTGAATGTAGAAACTGTCACAACCAGATCTTGGAAGGTTAGTATTTGCATTTCTCCAACCTGCAGCATGAACCTGGGGTAGTTGGATGAATGACTTTAAAATAGGAACTTCCTCTGACACTATAGTGTTCTTTGGGATTCAATATGGGAAGGGTGATCAACAGAAAAAGGGTGTTTTCTCTCCATAGGATAGATAGTGGGCTCTCAGTCACTTTCTAAAAAGATGACAGCTGTTGCACAAAGCATGCTGGTTTGTTCCTGATTTAACAATATTTACCACTTCTGCACCAACAACCACAACAGACCGGGCTATTTCACAGAGTGTCACATGTTGAGGGAGAGGGTAAATACTGGGCCAAGGAGATGTTTGGCAGCCATTGAAAATTCAAGAGAAGCATCTGAGGCAGTATAAACATTAATGTGGGAAAGTAATAATTGAAAACAGATTGAAAATTTCAGGAATAAAAACATTGTCATAAATCCAGGGAAACCCTGAACTTATCCTAAGTAATTAATTTTGCATCTATATCTATATCTACAATATATATCTATATCTATATATCTATGTCCATGTCCATGTGTCTGTCCATGTCCATGTCCATATGTCTGTCCATCTGTCCGTCTGTCCATCGATCTATGTGTCTAAGCAACCAAATGGCCGTAGGACCCATAGGCCGATCACTATGATGTACATTGACCATGAGGTGGCAGATACTCAACACAGGATTTGCACCCTGGTGTTCAGTACACTTCCAGAGCCAACCCCCCACCGCCAGTTAACCTCCTGTGGTTTTTCCCCCTGCCAGGCTGGCCCACCTGATCAATCCCAATTAGGGAGGAAGCCAGCCATTCAACTTCCCATGGCCTCTCCCCTCGAATGGCCAGCCAACCTCCTACAGTTTCTCATCCCCGCCCCCCCCCCCTTTCCTGGCCAGTAGGCCAAAATCCTGTGGTCTCTACCACAAGTTGCCTACCACCTGCAGTTTCTAAACCAGGTTAGTCAGCACCCCTCCATTGCTTCCATTGGCCCTTAGTCAGGATTTCTCACAAAATGACAGCTGTCACACAAAGCTTGATGGTTTGTTCCCACGATTAACAAACAACCATTCAGGCAAACTCTAACAGTCATTTCCAATTGCAAGGCAACTCCTCCAATAGGCCCCAATCACCAGCCAGGCTGAGGGACGCTACCTGTGCATGAATTCGCCTCTAGTAATACCTATGATGTTTGAGGAGAAAGTTGATGAGAGATGAGGGATACATATAAAAATGCCAAATATAGATCTTGGCATCTACTGTGTTTCCCCGAAAATAAGACATCCTCTGAAAATAAGACCTACTTACAGGTTTCCTTCTGAGTGAAATATAAGGCATCCCCCAAAAACAAAGCCCCCCAGGCTCTGTCTCAGAGTGAAAAATAATTTACTGTAAACTTTGTGAAACCTAAACTGAAAGAAGTTGTGACTTGGGTGAAGAATTCATGGGAGAAAATCACTGACAGTTGCACTGCAAATGCACTGCAAGCAGGCTACCTTGACAAGAAGTACTCATTTAAAGACAGTGCTATTGCTAAACATGAGAGATTTGGTCCACTGATTCTGAAAGAAATAGAGTCACAAGAAATTCACCAGGAAATTCAGGAATTGGATTGTTATGATGATGTTCTAGAAGATGATGACATGATTGTCATTGAATAAATGAGTAAATTCTTGATACTGTAGGATTCACAGTTTGTCTGGTTTGTGTTGACAACTACCTTACTACTGTACCATATACAAGTAATAAATTTCCTTTATTTTCATTTAACAATAAATGTGTACCATATTCTTCATGGAAAAATAAGACATTCCCTGAAAATAAGACCTAGCCCATCTTTGGGAGCAAAAAGTAATATAAGACACTGTCTTATTTTCAGGGAAACGGTAAATAGAAGAAGATGTTTCAACATGTTAGGGAAATTTAAGAATAACGATTTCCTCAATCTGGACGGTTATCTTGAAAGTGTGATATCTAATATGAATGTACTCAACACATATTTCATAAGCATCTTGTCTGTATCAAATAATGATCTAGAAAATAGAGCAGTAAGCAAAGTAGAAACTATCCTTCCCTTGATAAAGCTTACAATCTAAATCAAAGGGCAAATAGTCAATATATATATTGACTATATATGTAAGTGATAAGTTCTTTGTAGAATAATAAAGAGTAAGAAGAAAGAGGAGTATGGAAGGATAGGGACTGCAGATGAGGGTTTGAGTTCTAAATAGGATCAATCATGAGAAGACCTCACTGAAAATTTCACCTATAAAAAAGATCTCTGAAGGGGAAGGCAACCATAGGAGTATGTAGAGAGCATACTAGATGGAGAAAATAGCACATGCAAAGATATTGCAGGCAGGTATATTGGGGGCAGTTGAAAACTACAAAGATCTGAGGGGCCATCAGAGTGAATTAGGAAGAGAATGAAAGGAAATAAAATCAGAGATAATGGGTGTCAGATTGTCAATGAAACCTGCTCAGGATAGCATTAAGCTGGATGAAATGCGAGGGGATGAGCATATTAGTCTGAGGTCATAGCATGTAAAATGTGTTGAAGCAATCTGATCCAAATTTCAGTAATCAGGCTAAATAAAGGATCCCTTATCCAATTAATATAAATTTAAACTGCATGTTTTATGAATGAACTGTGTAGTCTTCTCACATATATTGGCTGGAATGTTGAAATCACACATTTGTTTTTCTTTGCGCTTACCTTATCAAAGGATTGTTTGAGTGAAGTGGATAGAATTGGTTGATTAAAAATTATGGAAAAGAGGAATGAAAACATGTGGATTCTGAGACTAGACAAGACTGAGAGTTAAAGCTTAAATATAACTGATCTTTTCAAGGCAAAGAAGAATCCATGAGATTTAGTAGATGAATGAAAGGGTTTATGTTTTTACTAACTCCATGTCATTGCAGATTTATGTGACATCACAGCAGGAAGCGATCAGAGCTGCATATGATGAGTTGGCTCCAACTGAACCTCTGAAAAAGCATCATCATTTAGAGAGACTGCAAAGGGAAGGCAAGAAGATTTTTGAGCAACTCAGGGACAGTGAAGCCAGCATGGAAAACAAGAGGGAGCTTTTAAGAGTAATGTATGCAGAGCTGAGGGAAATGTGCCATAAACCAGATGTACAGCTGCTCCTGGTAAGAACTCAGAAGTGGGGTGTTGAACATTCATGTGCACTGGCATTCCTTCAGTGGAAATCCTTCTCCTCTTTCATGGCATTTGTTTCCAAAAACCTATTTTTATAACTTGGTTGGGAGGCTATCGCTCCTCCAAGGAATCCCACAAACCAAAGATCCCTCCTACATTATCCATAAGAAACAAACCTCTGTGCGAAGTCTAAAAGTCAAAGATATATTTTGGAATCAGTAAAAGGCACAAATTGGTATGTATTATTATTGAGGCTAATTATAGACATGGCAATATGGGGAGATTTTGGAATCTCCACTTGCATTACTGTCATTTTTGGGTGCACCCACATTGGAAATAGACAAGATGGTGAATACTTAATCATGGTTACAAGAGCGCACAGGGACTTCCCAGCTCTCTTTCCCCTTCACTGGCCCATGGAAAGTCTCCAGAAATCAGTCTCCAGCAGAACATGAGTTTATGACAATATGGTAAACTAGGAAGAGAAAATAGATAGGTTTCCCAGGATGAAACAGGGTAGGGAAATAACTTCTGGAACTATTTTCAAATTGCCCACCAGGGTTCTGGAGGAATGCAGCAAAAATAAATAAGAGGAAGAGCAAAAAATAAAATAAGAGAAAAAAACTAAGTGAAAAAAATAAATTTTCCATGGACCTAGTTGAAGAGTCATTGGTAAAAAGCACTAAAACTTTCTATTTTTCTCCACAGGATTTTGGAGACATATTGCACAAGTGAGTCTGTACCTTGATACCAGCTGGTACTCTTAGAGTTTTCACAGAAATCAGACAGAATATGCTACAGTGAAGGCAGAATTTATTGGGATCTTGATAGAATGTTTTCCTGTATCTATTTTCCCCTTCCCAACTCCATGTAGATGTCTGTTTTCATTACCATAGTGAATGATTTCATTCTGCTGTTTCAATGGACAAATTGAAAAAAGTCCAAAAAACTCCAAATACACTGACTAAAGGAAATGCCCTCATTTCTAATTTTCTTTTTAGTTCTCAAAACCCTACATATATGAAAGAGAAGCTGCTAATTTTTCTGAGTGATGAGAAAGTCAAATACCTTAGAGGCAGAGCTAGTGGAATCTGGGGTGAGAGGGTCGAAGAAATACCCAGCAGTGAAAAAGCCCTAGTGTTTTGTTGATCTATTCATAGCCATTGTCAGTCCTGAAAAACAGATGAAAAAAATATTCTAAGAATGAGAATGATGTGAAGCCCTAGAGCCCTTCTCCCCGGGAAGCATATTGCCTTCCTGGGAAAAGTTTCACAGCCTCTATATTAGAATGTGCACTAGGCCAACTAGTCTTCAAGAACTCCATCATTTCCAGATGGGGAGCATTTCAAAAGAATCCAGAATTCCCCTCTTGAATATTCTCAAGGACATAAGAGACTCAGGATCTTGGCAAATTCCTAGACAATATGAGAAAGGGTTAGACTGAATTCTGGTTCAAATGGACTTTCCATTAGACTTGAAAATTAAGGAACTATGAAGAAGAATTATTTGGCAAAGTGGATTTATTTAAATCTACTAATTATTCAAATAATGGATTTAAATAATTCTATTAAAGTATTTTATACATAAAAAAATAGTGGTTTTGTTTGTTGACTGTAAACAGTAACTTCCTCTTCCTTCTTGCAGGAGTGAGGCCGTGTGTGAGTACATGCCCCAGCCTGTGAAAGCAGAGCTCACTGCAGTGACCATCCCAGGGATGATGGCAAGGTTCAACCACTTACAAAGTAAGGGCAGGCCCATGGGTCATATTTCCATGATCTATCCTGTGTTGTTAGGGCCATACAGGTAATCTGCCCTCTTCTATGAAGTGTGTTACTATTTTCAGATATAAGTGGATTATTTGACTGTATAATCCTTTTGTAAGGGAAGATGTCTTTACAGTCACATTTATAATACCAAGAGTGAAAATTTATAATACCAAGGTAGTGAGAAACAGAAATATGATTCAGACTCATAAATAGTGAGTCTCTTTTGGGTAAAGGAATGATGTCAGAAATAAACAGTTTAATAAATAATGTTCACATTTAAGATTAATTATTCAATTTTATGTATATAACTGTACATTTATTCATATATAATTTTCAAATGCTAATAGCAGTTTTTTGTGTTTGTGATATATAACATACTGGGTCATACTTGGTTTCTTTGTATTTTTTTTACAATGGTCATATAATGTAAAAATTTGGATTAGTTTGTGTAACAGAAGAGATATTTTTATAGACAACAAAGTAAAACCACACCAAAATACAGTTTACTCATTATCTGAAGAGGTACATATTAAATCTCAGAATGCTGACATCCCAAAGCCAGGACAGAAGACAGAGAGATTGGTGAAGGTTTTTGCAAACACCATTTTAAGAAACTCCTAAAATGGACATAAATTGGATTTTAGAGAGATGTTTGACTCATGGCAAATCTGCATATCCCTTCCATAATCAATGATGATGTGATTATTTAAAAGAAATGTTCTTCTGATTCTAATTTTTTACAATGGAAGACAATTCAAAGAATATTATGCATTGGCCATTTTTCTATGAAAAGTGAACTTGGAGACATGAGTCTTTTGTTCTTAATCCTCACCCTAGGAGACATATACAACCTTATTTTTTATTGATTGAAGAGAGGTAGGGAGAGGAAGGGTCAGATAGAAACATCAATGATGAGAGAGAATCATTGATGAGCTTCCTCCTGCATACCCCCTACTGGGGATCAAGCCCACAACCCATGTGACCTGACCAGCAATGGAACCTTGACCTCCTGGTGCATATGTTGATAGTCAAACACTGAGCCATTTGGGCTGAGCTAAGGATATTTTTTCCATAAATTTTTAGAAAAAGTGAAAGGGAGGAAGGAAGAGAGAGGGAGAAAAATGTGAGAGAGAGGGACAAGTACTCAGACAAATACAGATGCAGGGATGGAACCTGCAATCCAGGATGTGCCCTTGACTAGAATCAAGCCCATTATCCTAAGTGCCAGAGCCTACCCTCTAGCCAGTGAGTCACACTGGCGTGGATGTGATGAGTCTTATATTTGACCCTAAACATTTGAATTTCAAAAAATGTTGAGATGTCTGTCCTTAGGGATCTGTTTGTTTTATACATGTGTTGGTTATCTCAGTGCTTTATTAGATGTGACAACCAACATTGCTGTTGTAGTTGTGACCTCATAATAAAGTAACTTCTTGAAAGAGCAATGTTTTTATCAGGACTTCTGTTTGCAATGTGTCCACATAATTTTTTTTTTCTTTTTGCAGGGAATATCAATGTGTATCATGGAAGAGCTCTCAATCATGAATTCCTACAAGGAGATTTGATAAGCCTGAATATTGGATGGGGTGTTCTAAGTACACCGTTTAACTTTTCAAGATCTGACTGTTTTTTTTACTTGGGTAATAGTATTTTTACCTATGGGCAACATTACTGGGAGTTAGAAGTGGGAGACACTTGGAATTGGGCTTTAGGAGTCTGCTGTGATGATTGGGTAAAGAATCATAGAAACCTCCAGAAGGCATTCTATGTTCTTGGCTGTGCTAAAAATGAGATGCACCACAGTGTCTTCACTGTCTCCCCACTTTTACTGCAATGTGTGCCCAAACCTATTGGCCGAGTAGGGGTATCCCTGGATTATGAAGGTAGAAGCATAACCTTTGTAAATGTAGCACAAAGTTCCCTTATATGTAGAATCTCCTCTTGCTCTTTCTCTCTCATTCTCAGGGCTATATTTTGCTGTTGTCACTCCCAACTAGAAATACATTAGGATTTCGCTATATCCTGGGGAATGCCAATATTTAAGGAAACCCTTTTCCTGGTGCCCTATCAAATAAGACAAATATGTTATACGTTTTTGTTCTTAATTTCTTTTTCTTTTGTCCAGAATATCTACTAACTGTATTATTAAATATGATAATCTTCAAAACATATGTATTGGTTTGTGCTTTACTCAGTTTAGGAAAATCCTCATCCATGAAGCATGGCATAAAATAAGTCCTTGGTTTTTGCTTTATTTGTGAACTATCACGAGGAAGCATAATTACAGACACAGGTGTGTTTGCATAGGTAAACCTCAATGCAAGAGAGCAACCATACATGGTTGTAGAGACACAGTGGCAAAAATGTAAAACGCACACCAATGGCAATTTATAAATAATTTTCTCATTTATCTTCAGCTAACTATAGTCTACATGTTCCTGTCTCAGTTTAATAATCCATAGAGAAGTAACATTACTTAATAACCTGTGCTGTACATTTTTTTTTGTAATTCTCACCACAGTAATGCATATTTCAGTGTTATTCATATTCTCAAGATGAAAATTCACAGGATGATCAGACCTGTACTCTCCTCATCTTCCTTAGTGTTGCCTTCTAGAGCTAGTACATTCATTCATATACCATACTGTTTACATGTTAAGTACATAATGCTATTATCATCATCATAATCTCCATTTCATTCTCTGACTTTTCCTCTATTAATCTAGCTGTGAAACCTTGTCATTTTCCCACACCTATAATACAATTTACCCTCTTTACAGCAGTGATTAACCTGTTGATTAAACTCTTCAACAAATATTTAGCCTTAATTATTGCATTTAAAAAATTATATATATAAATGCTATTTTTTATTCAATATGATGGGAACCATCTGCCAAATATGTCAGTTGTAGAAAGACTGAAATTCAGAATAAGATTGTATTTATATAATTTGATTCAAAATAAGATTGTATTTATATCATTACACATATCATTGAAGATATGCTGTGGCTCTTCCCTTAAGTTTGAAATACTATCAGGTAAATGAATGCATGGATGTTTATAAATGAAAAGCTTTTACTATATTTTAATTTTAATAGCTAATAGTGGTTTTTATAAGGTTCTATTATTACTGGAAATGTTTTTTTTAAGATATTATTTTGCTTAATTTATAATGTACAAACTGTGCTTTTATAAAAAACACACACACAAACAGTATACACTAAAAGCTCTCAACTTTATCATCACTGTTGATGTTTAGTTCATATTTTGGTAAAGTTTCTATGCCAAAGTCATCCTTGCTAATAAAAGAGAAACATGCAAATTCACTGCACCTTAGCTATACTCACAAGCCACTCCCACCAGCCAATCAGGATGAGTATGCAAATCAACCCAACCAAGATGGCCATTAATTTGCATATCCAGGCCAGAGTTAAGACTGAAGACAGCATTTAAAGAAGCCAACCACTGCAGAAGGAGTAAAGCTGCAGAGAAGCAAGCCTGCTGCAGTGAAGGAAGGGAAGCAGGTGCTGCAGTGAAGGAAGGGAAGCAGGTGCTGCAGTGAAGGAAGGGAAGCAGGTGCTGCAGTGAAGGAAGGGAAGCAGGTGCTGCAGTGAAGGAAGGGAAGCAGGTGCTGCAGTGAAGGAAGGGAAGCAGGTGCTGCAGTGAAGGAAGGGAAGAAGGTACTGCAGTGAAGGAAGGGAAGCAGGTGAGGCAGCGGAGACTGCAACAGGAAGCCTTATTACAGGAATCTTCCTGCAAGGGGCATCAAGTTAACCTATAAAAAGTACTGTGGGCCCTGGCTAGTTTTTCTCAGTGGATAGTTTCTCAGTTCATATTTTGGTAAAGTTTCTCAGTTCATATTTTGGTAAAGGACCCATCAGCCTGCAGACTGAAGGGTCCCAGGTTCGATTCTAGTCAAGAGCACATGCCCAGATTATGGGCTCGATCCCCAGTGGGAGGAGAGGCAGCCAATCAAGGATTCTCATTGCTGTTTCTAACTCTCCCTTTCTCTTTCTATCCCTTCTTCTAAGAAATAAAAATATTAGAAAAAAATAAAAAAAATAAAAAGTACTGTGGTACTTTTAAGTCTCATTATTTTTCTAAAGGGGTAATTTAATTGTGCAAAAACAAAATAATAAAAATAAGTGAAAATTTGACAATCAGTATCAGTTTTTAGCTGAAAGTTGATTTTTATACTATCTGTAAACAGCCATCATAGATGTCGCCATCCATAGACAGCCTCTTGGTAACTTGAGGCCTTTTTCAGTCATCTGATCCACCTCTGGCTAGGACAATGAAACCCTTAGCTACCACCCAGTAGCAGGTGACAGTGCTGAGAAGAAAGAGACCCAAACCCGGGTTGACCCCTGGAGAATTCCCTGTGGTGGTTTTGCAGCCAGGATCCATAGCCCCATGCCACCCAGAGTCATGAGTGGGAGGTGCCCAGATGTTTGATGTTGGCTCCTCCCACTGCAGAACCCAGCAAAGGAACCTGAACTTCATTTCTCTGTGGAGCTGCTGGTAGAGCTGTGGTGTGGGTAGGGTATAGGGGTTACCCTGAGGACAATCTGGTTGAAATTCCACTCCTCCTCTTAACCCAACCACCACCAAGAGTTTTGGTCCTTTTTCCCCTCCTGGTGCCTGTCTCTCCCATGATACTGGGGGGATCCATTCCCTTCACAGTCGCTGGCTGTGGCCACCCTATCTTGCCTGCTGAAGTCTTCTGGTCACTATGACTCCAGCACCGATGGTTCTTATTTTACAAGGACACTATTCCCATAAGAATGACAGATGCCTAAAGATGGAGTTGCCTTGGCTGCTGACCTGGGGAGCTGCAGGAGCCCTGTAAGCCATCTCTCAGCTTCCTTGTGCCTGAGCTGTGTCCACCTCACCACTCTTCTTACTCAGTGTGTGTTTAGGAAACCTGCTCTGAGGCCTCAGCCTGACAGAGCAGGACCATCTCCATCTGTAGCAGGACAGCCCATTGGTAACTTCAAAACCTTATGTCCACATATTTTCTAACCCAGCAATATCATCTTTAGCAATCTTTCCAATAGATTTTTCACAAACAAGGATATTCAGAAAAGGATACATTTTTTATTAGCTGAATAAATAAATCATAAATAACTTAAATGTCCTGAAACCTGGGGTATCATTTCATAAAATATTCCACATATTATACACCTGATATAGGAAAATATTTTGTAATTACTGGTTTAGTCCATAATATTTTGAATGTTTTTAATTAATACATTTTATTAGTATTGTAAAACAAATGATTCCAAATGACAAGCCAAACTAGTGACACAAAACTGACAGTACTGAATGATATTAAATTAAAAATAACTCACTGATGTCAGTCAAGTTCACTGTGTGTGAATGATCTTAGAGATCAAAATCTCATTACCAAAACAATCAGAGGAGTTTGCTGGAGGCTAAAACCACCAACAGTCAGCATATCAATGCAATATTTAGCAAGGGTTAAAAATCAGCATAATATTGCCTAGCTGTTGGCCAAATGGTTTAAGGCAATTCCCTAACCAGTGGTCTTCAAACTGGCTGGCAAGCCACAGGTGACTCTTTGGCCCCTTGAATGGGGCTCTTCCACAAAATACACATACAGTATGATTGAAACTTCTTGGCCCATGCACAGAAATTGGTTTTTGGATCTCAAAAGAAATTTTAATCTTTGTACTATTGATATTTGGCTCTGTTGACAAATGAGTTTGCCAACCACTGCCCTAACTTGATAATTATTTTACTGTTTACTAATTTTTACCTTTGATATGCCTGAATGCATTCCTAAAAGGCAGATTTGTGTTCAAGTGAATAAAGGCAGCCAGGACTCAGAAGCCTAGGAGCTTCCCCACTATAGGAAAGTTTCCAGCCTGGCTCCCCATGCCTTCTAAATTTATATTTCTTGTCTAGTGCATTTGTTTATGCATGGCCCCTTTTCCAGATCCTGAATCTTTGCTGCAAAAGATTGTGGCAGGAGTTTTCTACTTAATAAATAGGGAATATGCTAATTAACCCTTATGCCATTGCAAAGATGGTGGCACTGACAGCCAATAAGGAGGGAATATGCTAATTGGCTGTCATTCCCTCAAAGATGGTGGTGCCCACAGGCACAAGATGGTGGCACCCAGTTTCCTGAGCCCTGTCTCCAAAGTTCCCCAGTTCCCTTAGCTCTCTAGCCACTCAGGGCTAGTCCAAGGTGCAGGCAAGCCTCAGATAGTGGCTGCCCAGCTGCCCAGGGCATCCTGAAGTTTAGGTAATCAGGGCTGATTGAACTTTGCACTGCTGGCAATGGCAGCAGCAGAGGTGTGATGGGGCATTGCCTTCCCCTGATTGCTGAGTAGCCTCCCTCCCCTGAGGGCTCCTATACTGGGGGCAGACTAGGCTGAGGGACCACCCCTCCAGTGCATGAATTTTCATGCACCAGTCCTCTAGTCTACATTAATAAAAGAAAACATGCAAATTTACCATATCTCCACTATGCCCACCAGCCACTGAGAGTGAGTCTAAAAATTAACAAAGATGGCAGGTAATTTTGCATATACAGGTGCAGCAGGCAGTGCCATGGCTTGCCCCTGGGCGTCTGGGTCCATTGGGGGCCAGGGCAGTACCAGACACCACCCATGGGGTCTGGGTCCATCACAGGCCCCAGGAGAGACAGTGGGCCTGCCTAGTCATGCCCGCAGGGCTCTGGGAACATCACTGCCCCAGGGAGGAGTGGCCAGCCTGCCTAGTCACTCCAGTGAGTCCCCAGGAACATCTCTACCCTGGGAAGAAGCTGCTGGGCCTGCTTAGCCATTCCTGTGGGGCCCCAGGAACATCACAGATATGGGGTTGCTGAGACCCAGACCAGGCCTCTGGCCACAGATTCACAGCTTCTTGGAGACCGACTCTACCAGGCAGCCTGGAGGCCATGTGGCTGGGCCACAGGTTGCCCGTTCAAGATGTGACACAGTGAGGAGGTGGGAGGAATTCCAGAGAATGGGATGTGGGCTGACAGACACTGCTCTGTGGGAGAGGCTGCTGAGGAAAAAAAGAGTGAGTAGTGTCCCTCAGAGCACCTTGGATACTGGAGGAGAATACAGCAAAGAGATGAGGATTCCTTGGCAACACCAGTCCCTT